TAGTTCACGTATTTTGAATGTTTACCCTGTTTTAGCCACTGTGAAAACAGCTTTCTGCTTATTATCTCATCTTTTCGATAGGTATTGTCGAAGAGAAGCTTAAAGAAATCTAAGTAATTACCCAAAGGCACATTCACATTACTAGTTAAGTAACGAAGCCAGGATTGAAACTTGATGTGTCTCTTTTGGTTTTTTACCACGAGACAGTTAGCTATTCAGAACAGTAAATGCACTTTAAAGATACCAAGAGGATAAGCAGTGATATCCCCTTCCACTCTGCGCCCCTGTAGCCAGTGTCTGTGTGTCTCTGCAGAGGGAGCGCCTTCGCAGATGCACATAAACGTGTCTGTTTTCCTTTTCCTCCTTCCTTCCAATTGGTGTTTATTGTGGACATTACTCTGCTTCTGACTGGAAGATTGTTTCTCACCAATGTATATGTTAATGTCTTTTTTTAAACATTGGATCCTCTTAGTGAGTATTGATGTTTTCCTTTGGTCTTACCAAATGCTTCGTCAGTACCATAGCAGGTGTTAGCACTTTGCACTGCTGTGGAGGCTGTGCTGGTTACAGGGTGTGTCACGTCCTCCCTGCCCTCCACGTCCTGGATGCCAGTAGCATCCCATCCTGACATGCAGCAATCAGAAATGCCCGCAGGTGTTGTCCCATGTTCCCCAGGGCTGTTAACATTGTCTTGGTTGATAACCTCTGTTGTAGTTTAATTCATCCTTAGGACAAATTTCCAGAAGTAGAATTGCTGAATCTAAGGTGATAAGCATTTAAAATCTTGATGGGAGTTGCTAAATTGCTCTCTATAGAGGTTGTACCATTTTATAGGCCAACCAGTAGTATTTGAGGATATTTCCTCATTCTTACCACTTAAGTGGTTTATCTAAAATTTTTTGCCATGTCACTGTAGTTTTTTTTCTTTTTTCAAGCTGTCCCCCTGTGTAGAGTGCTGTGGCATCACAGCTCACAGCAACCTCCAACTCCTGGGCTCAAGCGAGTCTCCTGCCTCAGCCTCCCAAGTAGCTGGGACCACAGGCGCCTGCCACAACGCTGGCTATTTTTTTTGGTTGTAGCCGACATTGTTGTTTCGCGGGCCCGGGCTGGATTAGAACCCACCACCTTAGGTTTATGTGGCTGGCGCCTTTAGCCACTTGAGCCACAGGTGCCGAGCTGTCACTGTAGTTTTAATTTGAATGTCTCTGTTTTCCAGCTAACATTTTTAAATGAGCACACACTTGCTTGCTAGGCGGGTAGTGTTTTGTGGCTTATAGATTTTCTGCCCTACTTGGTAATGCCTTCCTCTCTGCTGTGAAGTGATACCATGTACCATTTATTGAGATCTAATCCCTGACAGGCACTGCACTTGCTGTGCTCTGAGAGTGTGTGCATTCCTTTGTGACTTAAGCACGTGTTTTTGATAAAATGGCCTTTCTTTTACTTTTTGAGTTGGTACCTAGTCCAGCAGTCCTGTTTTCCTGAGTTAGGGGGAATCCCAGAGAGCTACCTAAAAAGTAGGATTCTGTAATTAGGAGTCATGTGGTCCTTGCTAAATACCATGTGATGGGGTCAGAATTGGTGTAGGTACCCTGATTGGAATTACACTCTTTCTCTTTCCTAGGAGTCTGTTCTTTCACTTTTAACAGTCATCAGAGCTTGACGTTTTGACCATGTGCTTATTTTCTGTGTGAGTGTCTCTAGGTGTGTCTGTCCACCGAGTGTCTAACACCTGCATAGAGCTGGGCACAGACTGTGTGCCCAGTGAGTATTTGTTGAATGAAGAACGGAGGCCACTGGGGCCTGTGGTCCAGATCTGCCATTCAGTGGACTGCAGAGGTCAGTTAGCTTAGCGAAGGCTCTCTGGCTTCCTAAGATAAAGCCATCTTCCTTCCTAAAAGGCTGAGCCTTGGTTTTATATTTTTTTCAGGAACATTTGGGCTGCTGAGGGAACTTTGGTCCAAATGGTTCTCGGTGAGCTTGACTAAAATCAAGCTGATGGGCAAATACTGCTCTGAGTTAGTAGCTCGGCCACTTGCACTCTTAAGGGCATGTTGTATTTACTTGAGGCAAAATGATACCTTCTCCTAAATGAGCTGTTATCTGAAAACTGGGGTTTGACTGAGTTCTGATGGGAGAGATTTTCTGATTTTCAGACATCAAAGTCTGGGTTAAGGGGCCAAAAGATACCAGTTACTTGCAGCTTTAATCATTTTTCTACTGATCCAGAGAAGTTTGAAAATTTACTTGATAGCTGTGGTTTGCTGTGCTTCTAAGAATTTGTGTGGGGATTGTGTAGTGTTGGCTACATAACTAGCTTGGCCAGTTTACTGTTCTGGAGGCTGGCACTGGGGACAGGAGCCCAGGGGTTGGGTTGGGACAGCAGGGGAGAGGTCACTGCCTCTGAGGAGAGAGAGCAGCTGGGTCATAGTGGCAAACTGTTTGTGTGACGGGTCGACATTGTAGGCCTTGTGGGCTGTGGTCTCCGTGTGACGGGTCGACATTGTAGGCCTTGTGGGCTGTGGTCTCCGTGTGAGGGGTCGACTGACATGTAGGCTTTGCTGGGCTGTGGTCTCTATGTGAGGGGTCCACTGACATGTAGGTCTTATGCGCTGTGGTCTCTGTCACATATTCTTCTTTGTCTTAAATATTTCTTTAAAGATTCCTAGCTGATGAGCGTTAAAAATGGGTTGTCAGATTTGGCCTGTGGGCTGGGTTTTATCAACTCCTGAACTAGGTGAAGAAATTACTTTATTGCTACATGTGTTTACTTTAATGTTTTGGAAATGTGAACCCAGAATAACCTTGCGAATTCTTGGTTAGTTGTGATCCAAAGCAGTGTGATCTGGCATGGCAGTCAAAGTGACCCTTAGGATGGTCACCTTGGGTCTGCGGAGCTCAGGGTAACCTTGGCCAGTGGGACGGAAGGCTCTTGCTGCCTTTTCCCCACAGGAACACTGGCCAAGGGGAGCAGGGGGGGCAGGGATGGAAGAATGGAAAGGGGGTCGCCCTTTGTGGGCGTGAGGGATGTGGTGATGGAGGTGCCAGGACCTCTTGTGGAATGTAGGGAGAAAGCTGGCCGTGCAGTTTAGCTGGTTTATAAAATTGAAAGAGCACGTCTGTACCTTGGATTCTGAGAAAAACGTCATATTCTGGTGCTTGAATCCAGACCCTTGTGGTTTTTCTCTAATCACAAGTTGTTCTGTAGAGCAGGCTGGCGTGAAGGAAGTTACTTGATTTCGAGGTGCGTGGTTTGAGAGACAGGACAGTCAGAGCAGGGGTGTGCAGGCCCACGTGCTCACCCGACTCCTGCTCTGCCACTCACTAGCTGTGTGGCCAGGGTAACTTAATCTTCTCTCCCTCATCAGCCTCACCTGGGAGTGGTGCTGGTAATAACTCTTCTTTGCAGCTGTGAGAATGGGTGAGGACTGTGTGAATGCTTAACTGCTCGATGCTCCTCATGTTGTAAGCATTCCATAAACGTGAGTGATAGCAGTGAAAATGGAAGAAGTGGGGGCCCGAAACAGCTGGCTGAACACCGCGTCCATGTTTAATTCCTGTGTCTGTCTGAAGGTCACAGGCTGCGCAGAGGAACTGGTCTGCCCCCCGTCCCCCAGCTTCCTGATTTGTGAAGTAGAAATCACACAGGTTATGGGGTAACCACTTGAGGTAACATGTGAAGGGCCTTTAGTTCTCTAAAGCATTGGACAAAATTTAAGGTGAAGGCAGCATGTTTATTTGTTCGATAGCTTAAACTTCTGAATGTGTCTGAATAGCCAGAAGGCAAAACCGGAGTGTTTCCAGTGAGACTTGATAGTCTCCTCCCAAGTTCAGAATTTGCATAGGTTACTTATAATTTGAAAGAAGTGATAGAAAATTGATATACTTTTGTATTTAACAATTAGTGGCCAGTATGGGGAAATAGGCTGAAGGATTTGTAGAAAGTGTGACAATATCTTGCAAAATTAGAAATGTATATTTTCTTTCCCCCTGCAGTTCCATTTCTAGGAATTTGTCCTGAAAATATATTTGTCATTTGTACTAAATCATGCATGCATCTGGTTATCATCACTTTATTTATGACAACAAAAAAAGTGGGCATGTCAGTGCGTACCCTTCAGAGATTGGTTAATTATGGTACGTTCTTAGAGTTGAAAACTGTGCCCCTGCAGGGAGCAGGGGGGTCTGCCATGTTGACGGGGTACCCACAGGGTCCTTAAGCTGAAGAACAGAAAGCCAGTGAACAACAATGTGAGTCATGTGCCATTTCTGTAGCCTGGCCTGGGGCAGGGCTGGAGCAGTGTGGGAAGGGCAATTGGGATTTTCTTGAATGAGCATAGAATATCCTGGGAAGAATCAGAAGTTGATAATGAGGCTGATCTGTGAAGAACTCTGGGCATCTGGGGGACAGGTTAAGAAGGAGAGTTACTTTTCATAGCATACCCTTTTCATCTTTTGAAATGGGTCTTATATACATATATTTGCTTTTCAAAGACCTTGAGTCAGGCAGGTGCATATGTACTTGGGGTTGATACTGGAGCATCTATGTTTCTCCTCCCACCTCCTAGTCAGCCACCTGCTGCTCTGCCTGTCCCTTTGACCTTGACTTGAGAAGCTGGCCCTGCCTGTGGGCTCCCCCTACATGTGGATGTCTCTCCTTTTAATTTGTGTGACTGACAGTGCTTCTGTTTCTACCCCCAGCTTTGGCAGCATGTAAGCAGCATTTTGCCAAGAACCCAGGTCACCGCTGAGAAAGGGGACCTTTGGGAGAAAAATATCCAGAGGAAACTAATGCCAAAGGCGTCTGGAATTACACTCCCCTCAGGCAGCATGAGACTTTGTGTGCCAGTGTCTGTGTCCTGCTGGCAAAGCCCGTAGCTCTCCAGGTAGCAGGGTCCCGGGAGCAGCAAGTGCCGGGAGCCTCTGTCAAGGGAGAATGGAGCCAGGTACGAACCCTCTACAATGAACGCAATTTTCAACTTATGAAGGAATTTAAGTGAAATAATTATTTAATATCCACATATTCAAGTTCAAAAGCCTTCTATGCGAAGAGCCAACAGTCACCCCCCTTCACAGGAATTATCAGGATTTTTCTGGCACCAAGGTGAACTCTTCTTGGTACTTCTGGCAGTGACAAGCTGCAAGACAGATTTATCTGCTAAATGTTCTTGGGCAAGGAAAAAAGTGAAACCTGTGGAAGCCGCATCAGGATAGCAGAGCACAGACCCCTCCCTCCCTGGTTGCGCATTTGTACAGGAACCCAGCCTGGACTTGGATGCTTCTGCTGAAGAGCGTCTGCCTCGTGCACCACCCAAGTTCGTCTGCTTGGCGAGACCTGGCCAAGGTGTTCAGGTGCTTCTCATGGTCTTTTTCTCCAGTCATTCTCCTCCCAAGGCTTCTGCTCAGACTCCTGAATGACGTGAACCTTGGAATGGAGTTTGTTGCCGCTCGGGGAACTGCTTCCTTTTCCAGGCTGGCACTGTTGGAAAGGACCATCTGAAGGCTGTGGTTTGTTCTCGGGCCGGAGGGCGCTGGCCTGCTGGACGCCCACCATGCTCCTATTGCTGCCGTTCGACAGCCTGCTCGTCAGCCTCCTGGGCCTCTCCCTGACTGTGCTCTTCACCCTCCTCCTCGTCTTCATTATAGTCCCCGCTGTGTTTGGAGTCTCCTTCGGTATCCGGAAGTTCTACATGAAAACTTTGTTAAAAATCTTTGCGGTGAGTTGGGCTATTAAGAGAGGTTACTTCACAGGGGAGGGAAGACGTGCTTCTAGCAAAAAGAATTGTTCTGCCCTGGTTGTTACCTCTTTATTGGATATGGAGAAAGTTGGGAGGATGAGAAGTGGCATTTTGAGTAAAAAGAATAACTAAATGTGTGTTTACAAGAGCCGTTAGCAGATTCCTTACTGCGACGCTAAGGCGCTTGTGTGTTTGATTCAGGCTACACAAAGGGACCTGTTGCATGACGGCATCTCCCTCACCTGTTTATTTCAGAGAGTGAAGGGGAATTAGTGCCAGACCCCAGGCTCAGAGCTGCTGCTGCAGTATTCCCTCACTAATAAGCATTTATCCTAAGTAGGTTCTTGCATTACAGACAAAAAGAGTAAACAGAAAAGGGCATTGAACTGTTGCTTACTTAAAGGTAGAAGAGAAGGAGATAACACATTTCTGAACTTAGCCTAATACCATTAAACAAAACTGGTCTCATTGTAAAGGAAATGGGTAAAAAGTAATGTTTTTCTGGAAGTTGATCCCCTACCACAAGACTCAATCAGGTATTTGGCACTTGTCTATTTTTAGTAGGTACCAAATCTATAGGAATTATTATTTTTTTTTTTTTGGAGACAAAGTCTCACTTTGTTGCCTTTGGTAGAATGCTGTGGCATCACAGCTCACAGCAACCTTCAGCTCTTGGGCTTAGGCGATTCTCTTGCCTCAGCTTCCCGAGTAGCTGGGACTACAGGTGCCTGCCACAATGCTTGGCTATTTTTTTGATGTTGCAATTTTGGCCAGAGTCGGGTTTGAACCCGCCAACCTTGCTATATGGGGCTGGCACCCTACCCACTGAGCCACAGGCACCACCACCCCATAGGAATTCTTTTCTACAATTGAGATGTTGTATAGTTTGAGACCTGCACTCATAATAGTAAAAATAACACATTATTTGTTCATTAGGACTTTCAGAATAATTTTTTTTCATTTGCCTTTGGTTCCTTATAATTCTATGGTAGACAGGGAAAGTATCTACTGACTCAGAATGATTAAATAAGCTATATGGAATGTTACATTGCATTGGGAAATATTTTTACATGTCATTAAGTCTCAGGTTTTATCTTTTATTGTATTCTTATCCATATAAGAATATCATATTCTTATCCCTATGAGAATTTGATTTTTTTGACATTTTAAGAAATTGAGGTGAATTTGACAACATAATATTAACCATTTTAAGATGAACAATTAATTGGCATTTACTGTATTCACAGTGTTGTATAGCCACCTTTATGGTAGGAACGCAAGGCTCCTCTTACCTGTGGTGGTAGGAGGTGCAAGCTGGATTTGGCCATACTGGCTTCAGACCTTGAAATGTTATGTCTGTGTGTTCGTGTGTATATATCACAAACAACACTCTGTGCTGTGAGGGGTATCTTAAGTCTGTTTGGCCTGCAGTAACAAACTACCATGGAGTGGATGGTTTCTAAAAATCAAGTTTATTGGGCAGTGCCTGTGGCTCAGTGAGTAGGGCATCGGCCCCATGTACCAAGGGTGGCGGTTCAAACCCAGCCCTGGCCAAACTGCAACAGAAAAATAGCTGGATGTTGTGGTGGGCGCCTGTAGTCCCAGCTACTCGGGAGGCTGAGGCAAGAGAATCGCCTGAGCCCAGGAGTTTATAGGTTGCTGTGAGCTATGATGCCACAACACTCTACTGAGGGCGATAAAAGTGGAAAAAAAAAGTCAAGTTTATTTCTCACAGTTCTGGAGGTGGGGGTGTTCTAGATGAAAGTGCCAGCAAATCCAGCATCCATGAGGGCTTGCTTCCTGGTTCGCAGACAGCGGCTTCTCTGTGTCCTCAGGTGGCAGGGGAACCAGGGGGCTCTTCGGGGCCCTTCTCTAAGGGTGTTAATCCCATTCCTGAGGACTCTACTCTGTGACCCGTCCAAATATCATCACTGTGGGGGTCAGGCATCGACATATGAATTTTAGGGGGACATAAACACTTGGTCTTTAGTAAGGAGAAACTTTTATCTTACTTTTTTTTAGCCTCTTTATCCTTCCTAAATTGGGATGATAATACATGATTTTAGAGCTGGAAGAAGAAAACAGATATCATCTTAAGTTTTGTGGTTCTCCCCTCTAACTATACATTTTAATCACCTGGGGAAGCATTTTAAAAATATGTATTTCAGGGCACCAGAATCTGATGTAATTGAATGAGATGGGCATTTTTTGAAAGCCCCCAAGTGACTCTGCCACCTGCTGTCAGAAGGCAGGGCCTGCCTCCCTGGTCTTGCGTGTGGCGTGCCTCGGTGACTTTGTCCTGACACATAGGGTGTGGTGGGCGAGACACACCAGGTGTGAGGTCGGCTTAGAGGGGCAGTGTGGCATCTCTCGGGCTGTGCTCTCAGGCTGCTTGCCCCTGGAACCCACACAGCGGTTGTGAGGAAGCCAGGCTGGGTGTAGGTGTTCCTGCTCACACCCAGTGCCCCACACACAGTGAGCAGCCTTGCCAAGCCGTCCAGCTCCCAGCCTTTGAGCCACCCAGCTGATGGCAAATCCGTGTGATCTGGACATTCCTGAGCAAAATGTGGTGGTGTGTTTTAAGCGGCAAAGTTTTGGATGGATTGTTAGATAGCAGTAGATAACCAGACAAACACTGGAGAATTGTCCACACTCACCTGTGTCCCACAGCTTACGTCACCTTGAACGTTTTTTGCATATTTCCTTTCAGTCTTCGGTAGTACACATTCTGTGGTTGTATTGTTAGTGTGTACTCGTGACTTTGTGTCTGTTTTCTTTTGACATTTTGTCAGCCATTTTTATATGCATGTATTGTACTACATAGTCTTTGTCAAGATCACTAAGGCTGGATGTGCTGCAGTTCGTGCAGTTCATAGACTGGATGTGCTACAGTTCGTGCAGTTCATGTTCCTGTGTGTTTAGCAGACCTAAGTCGGCTGTGGCTTAACAGTTTCCCATGATTAGTTCCTATACAAAGGAACCAGGAGAAAATATTTGCATGCCTTCCAAGAGGAGGAATATGGAAGGGATACAGGTGGGTCAATGGTTCTTCTGTTCCTGTTCCTGGAAGACTTCACTCAGTACAGGTCCTGCTAAGGCTCACACTGGAGGTCTTTGTGTACAGAGAGCAGCAGGTGTTTAAAGAGTTCTAGTCTGCTTTCTCAATCTTTGTGCTTCAGAGGAACCCTCTACACAGTGGTGATGGTGTGTGGAGCAGAATCCCTAGGAATGAGTTCTTAGCAGAGTAGAGAATGACTTGGAAAGGGAGAAAGGAGGCAGCCCAAATGTCAGGGAGAAAGTTGATGATAAATTGCATGAAAGGAATTGATCAGGTCACGTTAGAGTGGCTGGGACAGTTGTAGTCTGACCAGTGTTGAAGTCCAAAGCCGAGTTGTTGGTAAGTCACAGAAACCTGTGGGTTGTTGTGGGATGGGCATCAGTTTGGGGTCAGGCAGCCCTGATACCAGAGTTTCCCTTTCCAGCTCAGAAACAGAGGTCATCACACTTTCCAGTCTGTTTCTTCATGTAGAGAGTGGGCATGGTTAATGCCTGCCTCCCATGGGTGCTGTGAGAGAGGTGGGGTCAGTCATGCAAGTCCTCTCTCCCCGGTGGGATGCATGATTTTAGCATAACTGTGAATAGGTTATGGTTATAGTAAAGGACAGGGGTTATACTAATAGGTTATGGTTATGGTTATACTAAAGGACAAACTGAAGGAGGTGGAAATGATTTGTGGGAGGAAGCAGTTTTAGGGTTCATCATTTCCAATCTGTTATTTATTTATTTGTTTATTTTATTTATTTTTTTATTTTTGAGACAGAGTCTCAGTATGTCACTGTCAGTAGAGTGCTGGGGCATCACAGCTCACAGCGACCTCAAACTCTTGGACTTAAGCGATTTTCTTGCCTCAGCCTCCCAAGTATTAGGGACTACAGGCACCTGCCACACTGCCAGCTATTTTTTTGTTGCAGTTGTCGTCGTTTAGCTGGCCTGGGCTGGGTTCAAACCTGCCAGCCTCGGTGCTACCTACTGAGCTATGGGCTCCATGCCAATCTATTTTTTAATAAGAACTCGAGAAATACTAGGAATTCATGAATTGAACACAGCCTCACTGACTGCCTAGCAGGTGTAAGGAGCTCTGTGACATTGTGCGGGAACTCAAATCTGGGTCACTGCTGCTCCTGCCTTTCAAGGTGCTGGTGGTCTAGTGGAGAGACAAGCATATGTGTGCACAGCTAACCTGGAGTGTGATGCCAGTGAGGACGCAGGCCAAGGCCAATTCTGAGCTCAGGGACTGGGTGGGTGGCATTTTATATGAGATAATGGCATATGAACTGGATCTGAGAAAGGGAAATAGAGCATTCTAGAAGCCTAGTTGATAAAGATGAAAAGGCACAGTCTTGTATGGAGATGGCACATAAGTAGGTAGAGCCAAGACTCTGGGTTCTTGGAGGGACTGAGGGAGGTTACCGTACTGAAACTTGGTTTAGGCATTGGGAAGTCTTTGGAAGTTTGTGAACTAGTAGGTGACATGATGAGCCTGGCAGCAAATTGTTCACGGATAGGAGGGAGGAAAAGGGAAGCGATTCAGTGGAGAACACGGGCTACGAAGACGGGGCAGGGAGCAGCAGACGGTGGGCGGGAGCATCCTCAGGGGTGGCGGGGCCTGGTGGCAGAGGAGAGCCTGAAGGCGTGGGTGGCGGAGGGCAGCAGCCAGCACCCAGACGGGGAGTGCTGGAAAGGAGGGGCCCCGGGTCCTCAGGAGGAGGTGTGCAGGCTTGGTGGTGTGGGCCAGACAGGCCTGATCACTGGGCAGGTGAGTTTGGCGCTTCCGTGGAGCCCAGAGTAAAGATGTAGATTAAGCAGTAGCTGCCTGGAGGTGACAGCTGAGGCAGGAGAGAAGAGAGAGGGGAAGAGAGTTTAAGATGGGAGGCTTTGCAGGGTCCAGGATGGTAGCCTGGTTTGTCGAGGGTCTGACTCTGGTTTTCTCTGGTTAGTCTGTGGGAAAATGCAGTGGAGGCCAAGGGAAGAGAGGAGGGGAAGGTTTTGTGTTGCCGAGATTTGTTAAGCCCTGCTCGTGTGATTAGTTCCTAAGCTGTAGTGTACCATAGAATGAAACACTAGTAAAAATTACTGTCAAACCATCTGTAGTTCACCTGCCAGGGGCTTGGTTCAGTTTAATGTTACTTCAGCGCAATATTGTTAGTGCCCTTAATTGTCTCTTCTCTGGGAGAAGCTGGAAAGGGCATAATAAGTTATCTGATACTAAATTGCCTAGTAAATGGCATCTCAGATCAGAGGAAGGGAGAGGATTTTTACAGTGAAATAAACTCTGAACCTAGGATTTTTAATTTTGATGAAGAATTTTGAGAATTTTAGGTCTCTAAAAACTGTACTTTTTTTTTTTTAAGAGATAAATCTTGCTTTGTTGCCTAGCTGGCCTCGAATTCCTAGGCTCAAACAGTCCTCCTGCCTCAGCCTCCCAAGTAGCTGGGACTATAGATGTGCGTGTCACTGTATCCCACTGAAAAAATACTTTTTGAAGTGGCAGCTCAGAGAAGCTAGTTGTATGGTTGCCAGACATTGCTCTTGTGGTTCGTGCCATAGAAGTTCTGAAACCCTAGGGATTTTCCACGTGGTGGAGGTGTGTTCTGTTAATCCCTAATGAGCCCTTCTGTCACCCTATGTGTGTGCTAATACGGTGATGTGGTTGGGGTCCTCCCCAGAAAGACCCAAGTGCTTAGAGGGCTAGCACTTTAGCACCTGCTGGCTGTGGGGAGGTAGGGGGTCATTGAGCTCTGTTAAGCTCTGTAAGAACTCCTAAACAGTGAGATTTGATGAACTCCCAGGTGCTGGAGGGTGTGGAGCCCCCTACCCTCCCCACCCTGCCCTGTGCATCTCTTCCATCTGGTGCCTCCTGAGGTGGGTTCTGCTGGTAAATCCATCAACAGGAGTAAAGTGTTTTCCCTGCGTTCTGTGAGTGATTCTAGCAATGTATTGAACTCCAGTTAATATAGATTATAATCTGAGATTTCCCAGCTGGTGTCTGAAGTGGGGACAGTCCTGAAGTGGGGGACTGAGCCCTGGACCTGTGACATCTGATGCTCATTTTGGGTGGCTGGCGTCAGAATTGAATTAGGTTAGAGGACACCTACCTGGTGTCTGCTGCGGATTTGCCTGCTGTAGGGGGATAGTCCCTGCACATCTGTGTCAGAAGTGTGGTGTGAGAGTCTAGTGCAGAGAAACAGGCTTTTCCCTGAGGCCCTTTCTGTGTGTAGGGAAAGCTTCCCTACACTCCCATGGTTTAAGATTAACTGAGAAAAGGCAGATTAATAAAAGGCATACACGTTTAATATGGACAGGGGCCTTATAAAGATCTCTAAGAAATGGCCAGATAATTGATGCTTTTAACACCTTGAGGTTACAGAAAGAACGGGGGCTCAGAGCAGGGCTAGAAACAGGTTATGGAGGTAAATCAGCCTGTGGTGGCGAGACGCAGGAGGCCCGCCACAAGGGCAGTCCGCTCTGCGGGTGACCTCACAGGTAGCAGCCTGTGAGCTGAGCATGGGTCAGACTCCCTGTTGTTCCTGGGTCCTGACGAGAGAGGGGTAGGGGTGCTTCAGAGAAAGCCTGTTCTCCCATTAGGAGGTTATTCCTGTTACTGGGCAGCCCAAAACTATACATTATTTAATTTCTTTATTTCCTTGAAAACCAAAATTGGGGCTTGCTTAGAATAACTTGGTGTCAGGCATTAGTTTATAGGGTGCGTGAGCGTGTGGTTTGGTGTAGGGGAGTGGGGAGGGCCGTCAGTGTCAGCCATGAGCGCCTGCATAGCCAGGAGGTG